AATTAAGCATGGACACGTGCCATGATTATGAGATGAATTAGAGATTAGTCATCCCAACATAGTTTAAAGAGGAGCAAGTGTCTTAGGCCTCATGAGGCCACGCCTTCATTACATCATCACCATCCTTTTGGCCTAAGTATATAAGGCATGGTTGGGACGAAAATTTTCCCCCATCTTTACAATATAAGTTCATGTCTTCCACCCCAAATCAGTACCTAGTAGTTCAGTAAAAATTCCCTCAATTTCTCATAATCATCGCACGGCAAATTGACGGAGTACCTCACGGCAAGTCATGCACAACCGGAGCCAAGGAGATTGCGATCAGTTGGGGTGATTCAATCGAGTAATTGCAGATAGTAAGGTCGTATTAAGATTAATTGTTCGAGTAATTTTCAGAAATTCATTAGAATGTTCATGTTGAACTCGGTTAGGGCATGTTAGTTCTATACCGAGCTAAGTCCATTTTGGTTCAGCAAGTCATGAGTATTTCTGGCCCTTTTAGCTACTGCGCACCTAGCGCACACCCACGGACCATTAAGCGCCTTGTAGTGTTATCTCTTGTTATGATCAAGTTTGGTCGAACACTTCAGGTTTATTTGATTATGTTAGATCAGGTTATGGTCAGTCAAGTAAGGTTGATCGAAGAAATATCATGTTTAGTCAAGAGAATTGGCCTACCGCCAAGTATGCGCGCACGGTGCGCGTACACCCGATACACTCCGAGACCCGCGACCAGAGTCTGTAAAATTTAAGTAATTTTAGTATTTACAATCATGTCTTGCTAATTCATGTTAAGTTATGTTAAAGTGGCCAGAGGTATCCATCGGACGGCCGGTGGAAATTGGTCATACACACGCTGCCCGCACGTAGCGGTAGCAGTGTGTTGGCAGCGCATGCCAACGTGCAGTACTCGTTCAGCGGTCGCACGCAGCGTCGCCCAGCGCACGCCTGCGACTCGGTAACGCCCAGCGGCACCGCAGCAACGCGCCAGCACGCGTGATGAAAGATCGCTGATCGGTGTTGTTATTTATACGTTGGGTGTGAACAAACGGCGCACTTAGGGCCTTTGTTTATCCACGATAGGTGTATCTAACAGACGCACTACGGCCTTCTCCTAGATACCGTGACTTCAAGACGCTCTAATGGCCTTCTCTCCGACACTGTATGTAAACACGCACTAACGGCCTTGTTTAAACATACGTAAGAACAACAAGTTCCCCCTATGAGATTCACTCATCAATTCCAAGACTCAACATGTTTATTAATGAAGAGGTACATGGGTATTTATAGGTACCAACTATCTCTAATGCTAATCTTACTAGGAAACTAATAAAACAATTAAATATTAAATCCTAAGGCTAGTAAATATCCTACTACCATAAATTTCTAAATCTACTAGATCTCCTAATGTCTTGACTTGCACACCAAGTACTTCTAGAATGCTCCCAAGTCTTCACACGCCTAAAACCTCTCGCCGCCTTCCATGAGTCCGCCGCCCTCACGCCTCGCCCTAGTCCTCGAGGACTAGGGCTGCACCGCCTTCGCCCATGTATGTCCTCTCGCCTCGAGGCTTAAGGCCTCGCGCCCCACATGCGCCATTCCTATTCCTTGTAGGACCATGCCTCGAGCCCATATCCACTATTCCTATTCCTACTAGGAATAGGCTCTCGGTTACGTTTCCTGATCTTCCGAGGATTACTCTCGTCACCGATCTCCCACGCGCATTCCGGCACTTAACTGCTATTCCTATTCCTGCGAGGATTAGTATTCGCGCCTTGCCTATTCCTACGAGGATTAGGCATGTCGTCTCGTTCCTGCATTGTGCCTCGCGCGTGTCGTCGTGCGCCCCGCGCTCGTCGTCCAGCACTCCTATGCCTACGCGGTCTAGGCCATCGCCCGTGTTGCCCCACGCGTCGCTGTCTATCGTCCGCACGTCTCTGCCACCTCCGTGCATACTGCGCACGCCCGCCAGACCTATGCCCGCACGGCTTAGGCTTCGCGCATCCGTCTCGCACTCGCGCGCCTTCGCGCCCTTGTTGGCCTCCTCGCGCGCGTCCTCGCCACCCGCTTGATTGCCGCGCACGCCCGACATCTTGCCACTGTCATAATACTTGCTTGTGCACCTATGCGCACTCGTTGTCCATCCGCTGCAATCCCTCGCGCGCATCATCCTTCAAAGATCCACCCCCTGCGCGCCACTTCGCCTAATATCCAAGCGCCATGTGCGTCTACGCCAATGCGCGTGTGCGCGCCTTTGTCTACTGCCTTGTACGTGCCACTTCTCATGTGCTCGAGTGCCCCGCATACGAGCTCGTACCCGTCTTTTAGGCCATGCATCTGTCGTTTTTCCCCTATTTTCAGTCTCCTCGAGTCCTCTTGGCTCTCGACCCTTCTTGTCACAGGGGTACGGAACCCACTTCCGTATCAACGCGCCAGCACGCGTGACTGTGCCCAGTGCCGCGGGCAGGCCACCAGTCAGCCAGCGGGACGCCGCACATGCCCAGCACGCCCAGCCGCGCCTGGGACGGCGGTCCAGCACCCGCAGTAAGCCAGCAGCGCCCGTGCATGCTGCACGCAGCAAGCAACAGGCTGCTGGCCGAGCCAAGCCGACTGCCGGTTCGGTCGAACCGCAGTCCAGTCCAGACCGGTTCAGACCGGCTGGACCGGTTCAGCCCCATTATAAATTAGTTCGATTTTTATGATTAAGGTTTCAGCCCGGTTCATGATTTTAATGATATTTTCAGTTAAATTTCCGGGATTACTTCAGTTCAGTAAATTCATGTCCAATCAGTTCATGTCAGTTCAGTTCCGGTTATTCCGGTTAAGTCTAAATATCATGTCAGGTTCAGTAGAGCATGTTAACGAAGTTAATCAGTTAAGTTAACGGTCTGAGCATAGTCATTAGTAATTGTTTATATTATTTTCAGTTTGATCAGGCATCAGCACTACCGGTTCAGTTCAGCAGTTCAGGTGGGGACTCAAACTAAGTACTACATTAATTATAATTACGGTACCATGTTTGAGGTATGTATTTCAGTTGAGGTATCCGCTCAGAATGGTCGCCGGTCCATTCTGGGTTCTAGTGGCCCTAGTCTGCCCACTAGAGTGTGCACATGGTGTCCGGCATTAGTTTTTGCCGGCAGATGAGGTAACGGTCAGGGTCACGTTTGCGTGACGATTTCAGATTCATGTTCATGTTATTACCGGCTTGAGGTTGAGGTTGAGGTTATGTATATACTGATATCATGATGTTGTTATTATTTTCAATGTTTACATTAGTATGAGTTTCCATGGAGCACAGTGCCATAGTGCTCATTTCCCACTTTTATACTGTTTTTAAGGTCAGGACGTCGGGCCGGGAGCATGAGCTGACGGAGGCTTCAAGACATTATGTTTTTTACTGTATATTTATTATGATGACTTACGCTTCCGCTGATGATGTTTTTGATGACTTTTGATGTACTCATATTTTGACAAACTTTTGGAAAACTTTATGATTCAGTAACCGGATGGTTTTCTTAAAAATTAAAATAACGGTTTTTAGAAATTAAGTCACGATTTTAAGGAAGCACCCCAAATCAGTTTCCGCAAAGTAAAAAGGCTTTATTTTTAAATAACTTTGCAAATTTTTCGCACTCTGATTTAACGATCAGGAGGGGTGTTACAATTGGTATCAGAGCACGTTTCTGCGTCTCTGAATAGTTTTTCAGTCAGTAATTCTTTTCAGAAAAACCTGAACCGTCATGCTCACGCCCCGCCGACGACAGGTAAGTGCTGATTTATGTTTTCAGTTATAAACATATTACTTTGTCTATGCTCAGAATTAAGGATCAGGACTTTAGTTAAGATGCTCGAATCAGGTTCAGACTCTAGAGTTCGGACATGACTCTAGAATTCAGAACTTTCAGACATGACTCTAGACATTAGGATTTTCCCTATATGACTCTAGAGTTCCTCAGGATTCACGTCAGTATTTATATGCCACTTTTGGCGACTCGTCAAGAGATTTATGTTCCTTAGTAATCAGTCAGAATGTTATCACGTATTCAGAAATGTTAAATTTTCTCAATGTTCAGATGCCGCCACGTAGGGAACCCGATCATCAGGCCCCTACTCAGGCTACGGTAGTCGCTCAGTTTCACGACTATCACGCTGAAAAGTTCTCAGGACAAGAAGATCCCCGCATCGTTCATGAATGGATTCAGGGGTTGGAGTTTATCTTTGAGGTTATGGACTGTCCCGATAGGTATCGCGTAGTTTGCGCTCAGCTTCAGCTCACTGGTGATGCAAGGCTCTGGTGGAATGCCTACTGGAGCATGCGTCCCGGTGAAAAAGCGGGTTGTACATGGGACATGTTCAAGGATCTAGTCCGTGAAAAGTACTACCCATCCTACTATCGGGCAGAGATGGAGCGTCAGTTCTTAGCGCTTCAGCAGGGCACTCATACAGTTGATGAGTACAAGCGAGAGTTCACTAGACTTGCAGCTTTCATACCGGACCTGGTTCGCACGGAGGCTCAGAGAGCGAGAGTTCATCGACGGGCTTTTCCCAGCAGTCCGTCACAACATCGTGGGACACGGAACTCAGAACTACGCTCGTGCCGTTTCTATCGCCCAGGAGGTGGATGCTAGCATCAGGAGGGAGGCAGTTCGTGATCGTGCTCAGCCATCCGCCCCAGTTCAGCCATTCGCAGCTCCACCAGCTCAACCAGCCCCACAACCAGAAAAGGAGAAGAAAAGGAAGGGAAAGGGTGCACAGACTGACCGGAGGACCCGACAGAGACAGCAGCCAATTCCACCGTGCCCGACCTGCGGACGACTTCATCGGGGAGAGTACCATGTGGGACAGGACATCTGCTATTACTGCCATGAGCCTGGACACTTTGCGAGTCGCTGTCCGAAGAGACTCCAGCAGTAGCCTCAGCAACCTCAGCAGCCACCACAGCAATAGCAACCACGTCAGCAGGGACAGAGGCCGCCTTAGCAGCAACAGCAGCAAAGGGGCAAGCAGCATGCCCGGGTTTACGCCGTTGATCAGGCCGAGGCAGCACAGCAGCCAGGTACTATGTCAGGGATGGTTGTTCTCAATGATATTCCTGTGTTCGCTTTATTCGATACTGGAGCGACACATACTTTCATTTCACGACGATGTCTCGATGCCATCGGAGTTCACGCCGTTACCGCTGTCGATCCTCTCGAGGTGAGTTTAGCCTCGGGACGAAAGATAGTGACCTCAGCTAAAGCCTCAGATCTTAGCCTTTCCATTGGTGGCCGAGCATTAACTTCCGACGCGTTTGTTCTCGAGATGAGGGACTTCGACCTTATTCTCGGAATGGATTGGCTATCCTTCTATCATGCAGTCATCAGGTGTCATGACCGGGAGATCACTCTCTATCTTTCGGGAGACGAATCGATCACTTTCTTCGGTTCCAGGAATCGTTCACTGCCTTATGTTGTTTCGATGGCGAAAGCCACTAAGCTACTGCGACGAGGCAACTGCCAGGGTTATCTGGTGAGCCTTGTCGACGATTCTCAGAAAGCGCGATCACCTCATGATGTTCCAATCGTTCGCGAGTTTGTGGACGTGTTCCCAGACGAGCTTCCAGGAGGACCGCCTAATCGGCAGGTGGAGTTCTCTATCGATCTTATTCCAGGGGCCGGTCTAGTATCCAAAGCCCCGTATCGTATGGCGCCTAAGGAGTTGCAGGAGCTTAAGACGCAGATTCAGGAACTGCTACGACTCGGTTTTATCCGACCGAGCGTGTCACCATGGGGAGCACCCATTCTCTTTGTTAAGAAGAAGGACGGATCCATGCGCATGTGTATCGACTACCGGGATCTTAACCGGTTGACGATCAAGAACAAGTATCCGCTTCCCAGGATCGACGACTTATTTGATCAGTTGAGGGGAGCCTGTGTGTTCTCGAAGATTTACTTACGATCAGACTACCACCAGCTGAAGATTAAGGAGTCAGATATCGCTAAGACCGCTTTCAGGACTCGTTACGGCCATTACGAGTTCGTCGTCATGCCTTTCGGTCTCAGCAATGCGCCAGCTGTTTTCATGGACCTCATGAACCGTATTTTCCATCCCTACCTCGATCAGTTCGTTATTGTCTTTATTGACGATATTCTTATCTACTCGAAGAGCCAGAAGGAGCACGAGGAGCATCTGAGGGTGGTTCTCGAAACCCTCAGACGAGAAAAGTTGTACGCAAAATTCTCCAAATGCGAGTTCTGGCTCCAGCGAGTATCCTTTCTGGGTCATGTGATTACTCAGGCAGGTATTGAGGTGGATCCTTCCAAGGTCGCAGCCGTTCAGAATTGGTCGACACCGAGGAGTCCGTCCGAGGTTCGCAGTTTTCTCGGTCTACCTGGTTACTATCGCAGGTTTATCGAGGGTTTCTCCAAGATCGCCCTCCCTCTATCCCAGCTGACGAGGAAGTCTGTGAAGTTCGAGTGGACTGATCGTTGTGAGGCAAGCTTTATGGAGCTCAAGTGGAGGTTAACTTCAGCACCGGTGTTGACTATTCCCGATCCTTCTTGGAGTTTCACTATCTTCAGCGATGCTTCGAGACAGGGCTTGGGATGTGTCCTTATGCAGGACAGCCAGGTCGTTGCATACGCTTCACGTCAGCTTAAGCCTCATGAGCAGAACTATCCGACGCACGACTTGGAGTTAGCAGCAGTCGTTCATGCCCTCAAGATATGGCGACATTATCTTTACGGCGGACGTTCCGAGATTTTCACAAACCATAAGAGCCTGCAGTATATCTTCACGCAGAAGGAGCTCAATATGAGACAGCGCCGTTGGCTCGAACTTGTCAAGGATTATGACTGCTCTATTCAGTATCATCCGGGAAAGGCGAACGTCGTCGCAGATGCCCTAAGCCGAAAGGTGAAGGGTGACTTGACGTACGTCATTACGCAGCAGAGTCAGTTGATTCATGAGTTTGCCCGGATGCAGCTTCAGGCGATCGATGCACTTCCCATAACCGTTTCGGGGAGTACCAGTGCCAGTATCAGTGCTATGCAGCTTCAGCCGACGCTGAGAGAGAGAATCCGGCGAGAGCAGGCTTCTGACGAGTTTGTTAATGTTATGAAGGCCAAGGTTCGCGCCGGAGGCGTCGAGGATTTTCAGTTAGGTGCCGATGGTGCCTTAGAGTTCAGAGGCAGGATCGTGGTTCCGAAGGTCGAGGCGTTGCGGAAGGAGATTTTATCAGAGGCCCATACCGCACCCTATTTGGCCCATCCCGGAAGCACGAAGATGTATCACGACCTGAAAGGGTCGTTCTGGTGGTGAGGCATGAAGAAGGACGTCGCCGAGTTCGTCAGGAGATGTCTTACCTGTCAGCAAGTCAAAGCCGAACATCAGAGTCCGATCGGCCTCCTGCAGCCACTGCCGATTCCGAGGTGGAAGTGGGAGGAAGTCACGATGGATTTCGTTACGGGATTACCGAGGTCGTCTGAACATCACGACGCTATTTGGGTCGTGGTCGACAGATTAACTAAGGTTGCACATTTCTTACCCGTTTCGATGAAGATGTCTCTGGACAAGTTGGCTGAGATATATACCCGTGGGATCATCCGACTCCACGGAGTGCCCGTTACGATTGTATCAGACAGAGATCCCAGATTCGTCAGTCGATTCTGGCACAGTTTACATGAGGCGATGGGCACGAAGTTAGAGTTCAGTTCAGCCTACCATCCGGAGACGGACGGTCAGTTAGAGAGGACTATTCAGACGCTTGAGGATATGCTTCGCGCTTTGGTTGTTGACAAGGGTGCTAAGTGGGAGTCACTGTTGCCGTACGTCGAGTTCGCGTATAACAACAGCTACCATTCTTCTATTCAGATGGCTCCTTACGAAGCACTTTATGGTCGCAAGTGTCGTTCCCCTCTCTATTGGGACGACGTCGGAGAGCGGCGAGTACTCGGTCCTAAGATGATCGAGGAGACAGTGGAGCAGGTCGAGTTGATCCGGCAGAGACTCAGGACAGCTCAGAGTCGACAGAAATCTTCTGCCGATCATCATCGACGAGACATTCAGTTCGAGGTTGGCGAGCCAGCCTTTCTCAGAGTTCGTCCGATTCGTGGAGTTGTACGATTCTGAAAGAGAGGGAAGCTGCACCCTCGTTTCATCGGTCCGTTCGAGGTTCTCGAGCGAGTAGGCGAGGTCGCGTATCGATTAGCCCTACCTCCCGAGTTATCAGGCATTCATAATGTTTTCCACGCATCTATGTTGCGTAAGTACGTGTGCGACCCCGATCATGTCATTCCTCTCACGGATATTCAGGTTCATCCAGATCTATCGTACGAGGAGCGACCTGTAGCTGTACTAGACCGTCAGGTTCGTTGGCTCCGGAAGCGAGATATTCCCCTCGTGCGTATTCAGTGGGATCGCCACGGAGCTACTTGGGAGGAGGAGTCCGATATTCGCGCTCGTTTCCAGACTTTCAGTTTTGATGTACATATTCCGTTATCCTATGTACATAGTTTATGTATGTCAATTATGTTTTGAATTTCCGAGGACGGAAATCTTGTAAGGAGGGAGGATTGTAATATCCCGACATTTTATTAGTATAAATTATGTTGTAATTCCGATATAATAATGTTAACGTTTATTATTTTCGGAATTCATTATTTTCAGTCGAGATTACCGAAAATTATTTTCGACGTACCGTTTACGTTCGGAATAATTTTGGTAATTAAGCATCATGTTTAATTGAATAATTAAACATAATTTAAGGATTAATTAGTAATTAATCCTTATTAGGGCTAAAAGCCGTAAGTATTGTGGGTATATGTTTCCAAATTCGTACAAAATTTTCCTAAGTGTTAAGAACCATTTTTCCTTTCTAATTAAGCATGGACACGTGCCATGATTATGAGATGAATTAGAGATTAGTCATCCCAACATAGTTTAAAGAGGAGCAAGTGTCTTAGGCCTCATGAGGCCACGCCTTCATTACATCATCACCATCCCTTCGGCCTAAGTATATAAGGCATGGTTGGGACGAAAATTTTCCCCCATCTTTACCATATAAGTTCATGTCTTCCGCCCCAAATCAGTACCTAGTAGTTCAGTAAAAATTCCCTCAATTTCTCATAATCATCGCACGGCAAATTGACGGAGTACCGCACGGCAAGTCACGCACAACCGGAGCCAAGGAGATTGCGATCAGTTGGGGTGATTCAATTGAGTAATTGCATAGGGATATCCTCCTCAGCTTATATTCATGTTAGTAAGGTCGTATTAATGTTAATTGTTCGAGTAATTTTCAGAAATTCATTAGAATGTTCATGTTGAACTCGGTTAGGGCATGTTAGTTCTATACCGAGCTAAGTCCATTTTGGTTCAGCAAGTCATGAGCATTTCTGGCCCTTTTAGCTCTTATTTCATGTATAGTACTCAGTTGAGGAAGATAGGTCGAGGAAAGTTAGCCTTTTGTTCATGAAATGGCCTAAGGAGGTGGGCTGCGCACCTAGCGCACACCCACGGACCATTAAGCGCCTTGTAGTGTTATCTCTTGTTATGATCAAGTTTGGTCGAACACTTCAGGTTTATTTGATTATGTTAGATCAGGTTATGGTCAGTCTAGTAAGGTTGGTCGAAGAAATATCATGTTTAGTCAAGAGAATTGGCCTAACGCCAAGTATGCGCGCACGGTGCGCGTACCCCCGATACACTCCGAGACCCGCGACCAGAGTCTGTAAAATTTAAGTAATTTTAGTATTTACAATCATGTCTTGCTAATTCATGTTAAGTTATGTTAAAGTGGCCAGAGGTATCCATCGGACGGCCGGTGGAAATTGGTCATACACACGCTGTCCGCACGTAGCGGTAGCAGTGTGTTGGCAGCGCATGCCAACGTGCAGTACTCGTTCAGCGGTCGCACGCAGCGTCGCTCAGCGCACGCCTGCGACTCGGTAACGCCCAGCGGCACTGCAGCAATACGCCAGCGCGCGCCAGCACGCGTGACTGTGCGCAGTGCCGCGGTGATGCGGAAGTGGCTAGGCAGCTCAAGAACGCCGCAAGTCG